CGAGAGGTGATGACGGCAAAGTATTGAAAACTTAACCGTTACCTTAGTTGTCTGATTATCGTTTCCAAATTGCACCGCTGCCCCGGCTAGCGAAGCGGTAACTGCTTAACAATCGCCATCTCGATTAAGGCATAGTTTAATTCCACCCAAACCTATTACACTCTCAAAAATTACGGGTGGTAAACAAGTTCCGTTCTTGGGTTTGTCATCGTTTCACTTGCTATTTTCTTTCACTAAGCACCTTTTTCACCTCTACTTTCACATTTCAAGGGTGTTATCGCGAGTAAAGCCTTTAAAGAAGTGAACATGGATCAACTTTTCAAGGGATATAGGCTATAAATGGAATCCTCTGTTAGACAAACCACTAATAAAACTGGAACTGGAATGCATGAAGCTCAAACACAGAATCATCAGTCGAATAGTCAGCCGCACAGCGAGCTTTTATCGTCTCCGTGTCATTTTGGATATCTTACAGCAGAATGCGCAACAACAAATGCTCCTCTCCAAGAGACGACAACAAAACGGGAAGTAGGGCACCTTGAAGCATAAGCAGCTCCATACTGCTTTTTGGAATTCAGCACATTATCAGTCAAATCAACAATTTGAACGGAATAACAAGAAACAGAAAGGAAACTTACAAGGCAGCGCTGGTCCTTGTTCTATTCCTTCTCCATTCTCTCTCATAGCTTTTAGAGCCGCTGCTTCCATAGCTGCTAGAGCAGAGCTCATTTTTGCTTGCTGAAGAAATCTCATCCAAATGGAAAAATAATAGCAAAATTGAGCAACGACATAAACGAGGTAACTAACTAACCATTTTTTCTTTTTCATGAGTGGCCCGCCCGAGCTCCCGCAGCTTTGCTGCCAATGCATCTTTGTGTTTTCTACCTCGCTCATGAAACTCAATTGAAGCACGGTTGTCTCCAAACCATACCTAAAAATGAGCCCTACATTAACAGTACAATGTGACAGTTCCAAATTCAATCTAGGGTTGGCGTATTCTGCGCATCACTTGCACTTCAGATGCTCGGGAATTCACCTCGAAAGCAGCTTTCAATTTCAAGTGTTAGACTTTGCCACCAATTGCATACAAAACACATTCACAAATGATTATTCCAAATATCGAAGCCTGCCTTTTAATTTCAGGGACTCATAAAAATTGTAGGAATTAAGTAGCAATGTCGTCAGAACCAACAAGTCGTACTATAAGTGAACTCGCAGCACAACTCGATGTGAGTACACTTAACGGTCACTTACGTGGTAGAAACATAACTTCCATTGTGATATAAGAAAAAAAAGGGAAAAAGGAAGCTATATCGTAAATGAAAATGAAATGTCATCAGGTATCCCAATGATTCTATTACAATAGATGGTTCACTGAATTCAGGAATAGAACATGCAATGGTAGTAAGTGGAACCTAGTATAAAATTATCTTGACTGTTAATTGACAGTTTCGACACTACTCTACAAAATAATGTGCCTGTCATTTCATTTCTCGCAGTCTATTTTTTGCTGATACACGTTGATAACGACCTTCGTTTCTCCTACTTCTTCCATAGTAAAGTTAGTCAGGCTTATCGAATTTCAGTGAAAGCTTGAGGGTGGACGAGACTACAGATCTCATCTCAACCTTCAATCTTTGTAGAATTACTTTCAACAATCCAGAAGAGCTGATTTTGATGTCACTCCGAAAAAAAAAACGTTGCGTGACCAAAAATTCCATGTTAGTAATTTGCAATTAATATAACGTTTCTGAAGCTAGTGTTTTGGCTGTGGTTCACGGGCCAGAAAGCGACTTTTTCGCGTTTCGTAGCGTGAAACATTTTTCGCTCGCTGTGGGAACTTCAGGGGCCGTATGCTATGCTCCCCCAACAGGGGAGGGGTCCCCGTCCCGGTATGCTATGCTCCCCCCGACAGTTCTCGGGGAGAGGCCACGCCCACCGATAGCCGGGGATATCTCCCCTATCGCCTGCCGATCGGGGCTAAGCCGGGGATACCGTAATTTCGTAGCCGCCGTACGCATAATTGTCTGTCGCGCGCACAATTCTTCTATGGGTTGCGTACTGCAGTTTTAAGAATTGCTCATTTGTGAGTACATCACTACAAATATGATGTGCAGAATAAGGTTTAGTGTCGGACACCCTTAATCAATCCCCACCAAACTTATTTCAAATGATTTGGTCACGTTCGATCCCATGATTGTTATTTATAGCATCTTAAACAAAGATTTGGATGCTATGTTATATTTTTTACATTTTGCAGATTTTTAAGCTTCGTACTTGAGATTGTGAGCTATTACATTACGTGACAATATTTACCGTTTAGTTGGAGGCAATTTTATAGAAGATAGAACCAGAGATTTTTTCACATGAAAAATATTGGCTATCGAAGCCAATTGACTTATTCACAAACGTGAGCGGACTATTTCATTTCTACTGATCATATCGCACACTGACACAATTCTTATACGTAGAAAATAAAGGCAGTATCAAATGTCTTGCCAACCAACCATAATTAAGAAAACTTGAACGCAATATTAAAGGCAAATCGCACTCTGCGCTGGGAAAGGGGAACTGGAAGGATGAAACCGCGGATTCTCCCAATTACAGAATGAGCTCACTAAAAACCTGTTAACTTTGAATTGAGATACTGTGTGCAGGCTTAAATATGCGATAAAAGGAACAAGTACAATACAATAAATGTTCCATTGCAGCTGGCGTCCACAGTTGGGGAGATTGAAGGACTAATTTATGTACAAGCTGACTCCAATCATGAGTTAGGCCCTTCTCCTCCTCTAATACTCGTTTGTTTCGAGTTAGATCTCTAATTTGTTGAAGCATTTCCATTGGATTTCTTTTGCGGAACATGTTCGTAATGCTTGTAGGAAGCAAGTAAGAATCATACCTATATTTAATACAAGGAGGTACTTGCTCGCTGAATGAAGCAATCAGCAGCGGGGGAAATCTTTGTTTAAGTTCATCGCAAAATTAGATTGTTAGAAGATTATCTGCTTTTATTCTGACCACAGCAAGTTTTCGAGTTCTTCAAGATAAATCTCTGGCTAATCTAATACATTTTATAGAATGATGTATAGAATGATCTTCTTCGGATCATTACCAACATGGAGCGTGAAATGAGGTGGCTGATTAACTCCTTAAACATTCTCAGTAAATGAAGTAAACGATATACGTCAAATTGAGCATTATTAAAACGCTTCAGATGCTCTATGGAAGACAATGCTGATCGTAGTCATGATATAGTGGACATTTCTAATGATTTCCTCCTTAACTTTCGAGGTAACATTGCTAATTATTAAGTCTTTCTCGTATAATGTTTGCTATTCGTTCTTATTACGGTATCCTATCCTGCATATGCACCCTAAAACTTCATAATTAGTAGCTTTCCAAGCCTAAAACTAATGTCTGGCAAGATGCCAAGTTCTTCGCGCCATGGATACTCTGCATGTCTGCATCCCCTGGGGAGCCCCGCGAGCATAGCATACGGCCGCTTTCGGGGCGGCCGCAGCCGGGGAGCTCCCCCAACAGGGGGCCCCTCCCTTGTTGGGGGAGCATAGCATACGGCCCCTGAGTTTCCCGCCGAAAATGAATGTTTTCCGCGCCAAAAACGGGCCCGGAAGTTGTTTTCTGTCTAGCGAACCACACCACTCAGTTACGTAACAACTTGAACTTCCCTCCATGTTCTGCTGCGAGTGGCTAGAGCATGGACCTTGGCTTACCCCAGCAGGAGGAAATTGGAGCCAGAAAGCTATGCCTTGAAGAAGGAACGCTCCGAAGTGGATGACTACAGTGTGGCACAAGTTTCAATGGATGAAATCACAGCAGTCAGAGCGGCTGTCCAGTCGAAAGAGTGCGAAGGAGAACTTCAAATTGAGCCGCTGAAAAGGACGGAGATAAGATGGCCCGTAGACCTGTCGGTCATGAAATATCTGAGAAAAGGAGAGATTGGAAGCAACATTGGGCATGGTTGAACGCCTTTATTATAGGGGTTTACAAGGTAAAATGTCCTAAACGGCTTCGAATTCCTGTTGGTGCCAGAAGCTGGGCCGTGCAAAATTTAATGGGGTAATCGGAGTTAACACGTTGCGATTCTCTCTGAATGCAAGGTTTATGGAGTAGTGTTTTCCAATTTCTGCAAGGAGGCGCCTTTGTCTCGAGGAATTCGTGAGACTCTGTAGTGTCTTTTGATTTTGTTGGTACATTTCGTCCCCTTCGAAAAGCCAGGAAGTGTCGGGTGCAAACCATACACCACAAGTGACGACGGCCTCCAGAAAATGCAAATGTTTTTGCCAATGAAATGATTAACCTGTTACAGTTGTATTCGATCAGTTGACACTAATTACAACTATCATTTACTAAAAATCAGCTATCACTATGAACCACTACTAACCAGATTTACTTGGAGGCCGTCGTCAGTTGTGGTGTTTGGTCTGCACCCGACACTTTCTGGCTTTTTGAAGGGGAGGGTATGATGTAATTAACACCAGTCAAAGGACTAAATATACAGACATAAAGATACCCAGCTATACTGGATGAATTTCACACGATCAAGAAAGTTTCGAAAAAATGCAACGCCTCAGGTCAATGAATTTCAAAGGACGTGCCATGGAATTATCAGACTTGTCAGTCTTCCACAACCGCATACTTACACCAGATGACAAAACTGGACTGGTTAGCGAAATTAAAGACAACAAGGTGAAGTTTAACTCAAAGTAAATCATTTTTGTTCTCATTTGAGGATTATTCAGATGATTCCTTGGGTATTTCTCAATTCTGGTCCAGGAAACACGACCAGTCCTTTCAAATGCGAGTGGATGACCATCAAGAATGATGTGCTCTATGCTGGAGGTCACGGTACTGTAAGTGAGATCATTGTGCTTGGGGGATCAGCTGATTCTCTTCTGATATATTCTCTAGCCAGAAAACCATCTTCTTAGTATATTCAACGAATTATTCAGCGGTAACTCAGCTTTCATAAAATCGCTCAACGAGCCAGAGGCGTTCAATACATATCGTATCTGGGGGGGGGGAAAACGATAAGTAAACCAACCAAAATTGCACGTCGATGGGGCTTGCATTAATTGAGCACGTAGCCGGGTGAGGTGAAGCCTTAGATAAAAGGATAAAGGATAAAGCATTTGCCGTTGATCAATCCCTTTTGGGATGCGGCACGCATTCTACTTCCATTTGTACATTCGCAGTGGCATTTGAATGCGATGTGGCCTATACAATGACTTGCGGGGGCCAGCCGATGTACAAGTCAGTGTTTTTATCCTCCCAGACAAGTCTGGTACCAATTAACCGACCCCGGAGGGATGGAAGGCTTGGTTGGCCCGGGCGACTCACGACCCAGGATTTGATCCCCGGACCGCTCGCGTGGTAAGCGCGCCACTTGTCACTACACCACTTCCGCCCGCTTTATGATGATTTAGAAAATTCGATCCAATTGCAACGCGTGAGAACGGGCTCGCTGACAGAAAACGGGACGCGGAGGGGCGAAATACAATGTGTTTGGAGAGACGCAGGTGACGCCCGTTTGCGCAGCAAAAAGTCCTTCGGAATACTTTTTTGGAGTTGGCCAACTTCAAACTGCCAGGTGCGTGGGTCAAAACAATGTGTTGGAAAGGGAAAGGGAGGCACGCATTGATTCGTCAGTGGTGTAACGCCTGCGGTCTACGTTGGTATTAGATCAGTCGCGGCATCGATGCTACGATAAGTCTAAAGGTTTGCAACTTTCCGAGGCTATTCTCTTCTCTCTACAGCCGTTTCACGCCGATAAGAAGGGTTCCTTAGTGCAGTGGTTACAATGCCAATCATGGGCTCCTGCACCGAAGCTCAAAGCCGTGTGTGACGCAAGGTTTGCAGGCTTCCTGAACTCACAGCTTCCGCTACGGCAATTTACCAATGGCTCAATAGGAACGTTCCACGCTGCCGCTGGCAAGGTTGCTGGATCTACACCGCTTGGAGTCTAAGATTTGCAAACAACATCCGTTGCTTACCTGTTGTCAAGACCTCTTCCGATGCTGTGATCGAGTGATCCCTGGTGCACTGGCAAAAACCCGGCTTTGAGTCCTGTCATCCAGGGTTCAAGTCCGAGAGTGGCGCAAGTTTTGCAGGTAGTGTGGCGAGGCTGGCGGTTTCAAGAAGGGTCAAGTCCATGTTTCCACGTTCCTTGTTCCTCGTCAATGGGTGAAAATCACCACATTTGATTGCCAGTCTAGGGCACTTTACTACCGTCCCTGATGTGAGCTGACAGTTCACCTTCAAAAGTTGTCGTATTTTCAGGAATTCAGAAGTATTCAAGGAGAAGTTGTGCACCGAAATAATATGTGGATCAAAACTATTGCTCCCAGTGGAAAGGTACGGAAAATCGCAATGAATGGTGCGATAAAAAATGTGGTTGAAATTGCCGCCTCGGAAGCTTACACAGGTGTAATGAACTATACCCCTCTGACCTGTAGGATCCCTCACTACGGCGAGCAACTTTAGGATCTTTTACCAGTATACATAGCGCTAGTCCACATTGCCATGCCACCAAGGGCAACCGAAACAACAATATGATAGTAATGAGCCATTTCTGAGCCTCGTGCGCCTTTAATTAGAACATCAGTGCACTTCTAAGATGCTCACCAACTACTTTATCAGTCTGTTCAAGTCAGGTTTTTTCCACAACGTCCCCATGCATGAATCTTGTTTCTCCCTGTGATTCATGTCGAAAATTTGACCGTTTTCCGACACACTTGCCCGACTTATTCTATACCCGGGCGGAGGGAGCAAACAACCAAGTGTGTACTGCATTTTTCATATTTTGGAAAAATATGGATAGCAGTTATCAGGAAAGAGAAGTTTGACCATGTTAACTCTTCAGATGCCTGGCTGCATGTGTTTTTTTACACGATAAGAATTTGTCATTAAATGGATGTTCAAATTTTCCCCATCTGTGAAAACACTGAACTGAGTTCGTCACTGCATTGACTGGGTCTCTTCTCCTTCTATCGTTATGGCTATTAATTGTGTACTCTTTATGTTAACGATTTTCTCACCCAATTTGCACTTATACGCATCGTAAACCCTTTGGACGAAATATAGAGATGGTCGCTGAGGGTGATTTAGTAAAAAACTGTCTGTAATTAAAGCTTATCAACGCCAAGTGTGATATATGTTAAGGTTACCAACGTAGACTGGACAAAGATTTATGACAAACTGCGAAACGCTGTCGGTATTTTTGAGCCGGGATATTTAACACATGAAGCTGTTCAGTGGTCAGAAACACGGAAACATTGGTACTTCCTTCCTAGAAAGGAATCAAAGACTGTCTACGTCGAAGAAGAGGAAGAGACGAGACAAAGTGAGTGAAGGCTCCTCGATTATTTTAGTTTTACTGGAGACGCGAGCCTGCATAACGGATTTTCAGAGGCACAGGATCTTCCTGAATTACTGGAAACCCGATCTTTGACCACTTTGAAGTCAAGAGGATAGGAATACTGCGACCTGAGCGCGGATATTCGGCATTCGATTTCATTCCTGGTACCGACGACAAGATCATCGTTGCCTTGAAGTCCAAAGAAGTGACTGATGAACCTGTCGAAACCTATGTCACCGTCTTCACCATCGATGGTCAAGTCCTACTCGATGATCAGAAGCTCGACGGCAATTACAAATTTGAGGGACTTTATTTCATTTGAATTCCTCACTTTCTAAAGTACACTATGTCACAAAGGTAGAATGTTAATAAATATTGGTAATAAATATTAGCTATGTTCAAACCAACCTGCTCTAACATACTTTGATGTTGCGGATATAGGTGGTGATTTTAATATATATGTATGTCTATAGTACAGTATGAAAGGCGGAGCCACGAGGTAAGCAAACCAGCCCTTTTGGCGTTTCGGCTGGGACCGTATGCTGAATGTTGGGGAGGGGATGGGGTCCCCAACGGTCGACGGTTTACTTCAACTCGGTTGGTACGATAGGAGAGTACTGACGCAAGTGGTGCAGCTGGTCCAGCAGCTCCGCCAGAAGGGCTGGTTTGCTCACCCCAGGACTAAGCCTTGGAGAGGACGGACCCGTCCTCTCTTTAAGGCTTAGTTCTGAGGTAAGCACCAAATTGTGGCGGTTCTAAGGACCGAGTTGAAGTGGTCCGTCCACCGTCGGGGACTCCATCCCCTCCCCAACATTCAGCATACGGTCCCAGCCGAAGCGCCAAAAGGGCTGGTTTGCTCTACGGTCGAGAGGCCGCCAGGCAATAGGGTGGAATATAATTTAATGGCGGATTTCGAATGGCGTATAAATACTGGGCTAAAGAATCACAAACCTTTGTGGCCCTTGATGCCCTCTCCCGAATTTTAGTAGTGTGTCGAATATCGGGCTTATTTTCTACGTCTTCCTCGCTTGTAAAAACGTCGTCAGGTCGCCATGGTCATTCAAGATAAGATGTATGCATGATTTCGAACCTAATCTCTGATTTGCCACGGAAATCTGATGAATGATCCTCTGGAAGTGTTAAAGCAGAAGCAATGGTTTGGGCTCACGAACAGCAGGTCGTAATAGCTCTTTCTTAGCTCTTTTGCTATTTCGCATAAAAAGTCTACTTGTCTACCCTAAGTCAATGTTTGCCGACAGTTCCATAATTCGTGAAGAGTTTCGCCCTTGTGTATTCCACAGCTCTAGACCAGTAAACGCGACCGGTCCTTTCCAAACGTGAGTGGATGACCGTCAAAAATGACGTGCTCTTTATTGGCGGTTACGGTACTGTAGGTAATATTAGGGTGCTGAGGAAGCATTTTGCGATTCTAGGAATAGGAAAAAAGGAAAAAGGTAGGAATATTGCAACCTGACGCGGATGTTTGGCATTCGATTTCATTAATTCACTAAAGACATCGTCGCGTCGCGTTGAAGTCCAAAGAAGTGAGCGATGAACTTGTCGGAGCCCCATTAGAGTCCTACTTGATGATGAGAAACTTGACGGCAATTGCATGTTCAAAGGACTGCATTTTATTTGAATTTTCTAGCTTTCATAGAATTTCGCAGGCGCTGATAGTTCAATATTGGTAACATTCATAGAAATTTTCCCCTTAATTTCGTTGAGAATAGATGTGCTATGGAAACTATGACGCCTAAGATAGCGCCATGATTTTCATAATGGTTTTTGCAAGGTTATGTCACTGATAGTAGCAATAGCAAGACATCATCATCCAAGCAAGTGATAAGGCGCACCGTGTTCATCGAGTCTTTCATGAACATTGGATTTTCAAAATGAATCAGATTCTCACGGGGCTCCTTCTCTGGATGGGTTCTGGAAAAATCGCAGGATTGCATTTGTCGCATATTTGCTCCTCACGCATTCTATTTCACGTCGCATCGAGGGTATACCTTCAAGAAAGAAAAGGTAGACTACCATAGGGAAGAGAGGGTATGCAGGTCTAGAAGAGAGTATATGAGGATAAGCGCTGTAACTGTTAACTTGCAGCGCTAATTTTCAGAGTTTTCCTGGGTTTCCAGAGCAGTTCTCTGACCCCACCATTGCACAGAATGAATTTCTTGTCCCAAGGTCTTACAAGAAAGTCAAGTCAGCTCTACAACTCTGTTGCGTAAAACGCAAATGTGCCATTGCAGGGGATTGCACAA